CATTTGAATTTTTCTTATTTTGGTAGATTTCCATGAAAATTAGTGGCAACCACAAACAAATACATTAATACATAAATTTGATATAAAATAGAAATTATTGATTGAACTCTGGGCAAACCCTAACTCTTTGCATCATGTTCATAAGCATATCTTACCTGTGTAGAGCTATAGTAATAGCTGTTTTTGTCTTTGGTTCCAAACAGACTCATTGAAGACATATTAGAATTTTTATTGAAAATTGAATTTCCATTTAAAGTAGAGTTAATAAAGGTAAACTTGCATTATCTTAATGGTTATTCAGTTTTTGCTTGGTAGCTTTCAAAGTAACTTGCTACTTTACAGAGAAGGGAGGCGACGGATAGAGGGTAAACCTGTGAGTTACCACCTCTGTTTTTACCCTGTGTCGTTATCACAAGCTGTTTCAGTCTACAGAGCCCCGTTTCCAAGGACTAACCCATTGGAGTTCTATGATTCTATGAATTGGAGGTTGATCATCTTTGTGTCTAGCAGAGGAAAAACTTTTTTTTTTTTAGGGAAATATCATGATTGCCTTAGAGATGACCAGATTAAACTTTTTTTTTTTAAGGAAATATCATGATTGCCTTAGAGATGACCAGTACTAGTGTGTTTAGTGTGTTTGTTGGTTAATCTCTTGTGAAGAAAGCAAAAGTGCTAAGTTAGAAAATAAGCTCAGTGAAAGGACTGTGCTAAAGTAACATAATTTAGTCATCTTCCAAAGTTACTATAGTGATTGTTTCTTAAAGGTTATTATTTAATATATCTGTTGAATGAATTAGGTTGTCAGGAAAGTCATGGTGTATTTTTTTCTATGCAAAAATGTGTCATTACTTTCCCGATGACCCAGTATAATGATTTTGTTTTGTGCAGCTAAATTATTAATAATAATAATAATAATAATAAAAAGAATTTCAAATTTCAAATTTCCCATGTAGAAGGGAGAATTTTTCGAACATAAAAATATTTAATTTATATATTCATTTTCTTTCACAGGTATTCCTGGCCAAAGTTCTGTTGTGTTGTTGGAAAAGTCATGGCTCATTTTGCAGAGAAAAACTACATTGTGACTTTTTGGACAACCCAATAGATAGAAATTAAACCTTGGAAATGACATAAAATAGTTCTATGCTAGCTCTAAAGAGAGTCACCAGTTCCTCTACAAAAAGTATGTTGTAAACAGTTTCCACATTTGATAGATTGAGAGTTGATTCCTTTTTGTCCTTAGCCATTTGTTACCAAAAATACAAGAAAAGTATTAGTACAGACAGATTTCATTGAGTCCTAGAATTGAAAGAGCTTTAATTATCCAACCAAATTTTTACATGTTCTAAATTAGGAAACTGGGTCTCAGAGAGGTTCAGTGACCTATTGAAGGTCTCAGATTTGCAGAACTGGGGTCTTACTATAGAACCCTTTAGCCTGTACCATGGTTCTTGAAGTGAGTATCAGCGTAAAGCTAAGCTTCTGTGTATCTGCTATACCATTTTATACCACTAAACCATTTTATTTAATATTTATGTCCAAGTTTAGGTTTCCCTTCCTTCTTGGTGCATAGTTTTCATCTTCTTTTTCTTTTTTTAAATGGATTTTTACTATAGGGTGTGTGTGCTTGCTGGAGAGACTGAGAGAGACAGAGAGATAGAAAGAGGGAACTCACTGCGGGGGGATGGCCATGCCACAATCCCTTCACCTCCATTCTCCTCTTGGGATTTTGGGCACGCATGCAAACACTCCCAGCATGAGTTTCAAGTTGCTGGGTCCTGGACACGAACTGTGGTCAGCCATGTGGTAGCCTAGTGATGTAACCATCATGCCATCGGCAGGTCCCAGGTGCATAGTCTTTTTATTTATTTATTTTTGCCTTTTTGTTTATAAACCATCATGCCATCTGCAGGTCCCAGGTGCATAGTCTTTTTTTTAATTTATTTTTGCCTTTTTGTTTATTTACTTTGCAGATATACTAGTGAATTTTACACTTAAAAATTTTAGAATATTAAGAAAAAAGGTGTCAGCAACCTTGCATCTTTATATCTATTACATATTCTGGAAGCAGGGAAAATGGCATCTAAGTTTATGGGTGTAAATATGAAGTAAAGTGTAGTTCTGAACTATGTTACTCTGGAAATCAAGACTGACTTATAGATGTTTCCTAAAGCCAAGTATACAATGTACTTTCAGTCAAAAATGTCAATAAGATACTGCACATCATATGGTAGGATACTGGAAACAAAACAGAAAGCGTTTTCTACCTTTATACAAAATTATAATGCATTTGAGATGATACTGGCATCATAAAATGTTGGCACCCGGAAATGTTCTCCAAATGTTATGACCATATCTCAAGAAAATGCACTAGAACTGAAGTTAATCTATTAATACTGGGTTGTTGGAAAATCGATTTTTTGCATAGAAAAAGTTTTGACACATTTTTTCATAGAAAAAATTTTTGGCATGACTATTAAAGAAGTTCTGCATATTGGACTATTATTCTGCAATACAGGTTTAGGAAAATAAAATTTCAGTTGAAAATAACTTGCTTCTCCCCTCTCTTGAAATGAAATAAAGGATTTTATGTTGGTACCATGAATTTAGAATTCAGAATAAATATTGCTTATGACATCAAATTTTATTGTGATTTATCATGTGGAAGTTTAATGAACATTTTTCTTAAAACAAAAGACTCAGACTATATATGTGTTTCTATTTACCCTAACAAAATCTATTCATAATTCCTGTTTTCCTCTCCTTCTACCCCTCTTCTCTTTTCTTCTCCCCTCCTCATTCCCACCTTACTGTTTTCCTTTTGTCTAGAAACTTTTTTTTAAATTGAAAGCCTTATTAAAGATACTCATTTCGCTTCAGAATACATTTTCTTCTTAACACAGACAGTATTTATTATATATGTAAAGATCATTTATTATGCTCAATGGCAGTGAGACAGCTGTCGGACCATACCTGGAGACTAGGTCATACCCATTCACCCTCTTCAGTTTAGTGGTTGACTAGGACTTATTCTCATAGATAAGATTTCTATATGTGATTTTAATTTTATGTACGAAAATATTATAGTAAATAACGTGGGCTTTTGTGTGGATTAAGTTTATTCTGAAAACAAGAAAAATGTACACATTTATTGAACAGCTATTCAATGATTCACACTGGCTGGCCCTAGAACTTTATGTATATTCAACAGCAGCACATTATTTTAAATGTGCACATACATTTTGTGTGTGTATGTGTTTTTAAAGAGAGGCTCTAGCATGTCACCATCCTCCTGCCTTACCATCCTTACTGGTTGGATCCACTGTGCTTGTCTTTTTAGGATGAGCCGAGAATCAAACCCAAGCTTCCAGTGTGGCCTCCGTCTGCCAAGCAGCAGTGTCCAGCATACACAATAGCAGCTGGGCCTCACATTCATTTTAACTATGTCGTTTTTACTGAGTGAACTTGATATACCAGGGAACTAAATTTAGTGCTTTTGGTGTAAATTTTATTTCTTAAGAAAACAAATCTTTTTAAAATTACTGTGACCCTCAGATATTTAACAAAAAAAAGTGCTGCTAAAATTCTATTATGAATTTCTATATAATAAGCTTTCTATTGAACACATTCCTTATATAAACAATACTGGAATATTTCCATTGGATTTATTCCATAGAAACTTTCATTTGATTGGTTGTTTTTATTTGGTAGAATTCTAGTAAAATGCTAAAGATAACTTTTTCTAATGAGGTATATGAAAACATTGAATCTTAGTGAAATTATTGGGTAAATTACCATTCATGTACATGAATATACAATTTCTGATTACCTTTTTGTTTAATGTTTAAATTTTTTGTAGGTGGTATACTATTTGTTTATGGTAGTTCTAGCAGATCTACCTAGTTTTAGGATTTTTTTTTTTTTTTTAAGATTTTTGCCATAGAGTGCATGTGCTCACTGGAGAGAGACAGAGAAAGAGGGAAAGTGAGAACTCACCCTCCAGGGGGGGATGCTCAGACTGCGTTCTCTTCTCTTCCTGGGATTTTGTGCACACATGCACCTCTCATGTTTTTCAAACAGCCAAGTCTAGTACTTGAAATACAGGGTTCCCCTAACACCTGAACTATGATGATATGTAGTTTTACTCCACTTTCTTTTTTGTTTTTAAAGGTTTTGGCCACAGGGTTTTTGCGCTCACTGGAAAAAGAGAGAGGGAAAGTGAGAAATCGTTCCCTGGCAGGATGGCCATGCCACAACCCCTTCTTTGTTTTCCTCTTGGGATTTTGGGGACACACACACACATGTGCCCGCCATGATTTTCAAGCTGCCGGGTCCGGGACTCAAACCATGGTTGACCCTGTGAGAATTCAGTGTCATAACAACCACGCCACCTGCTGGCCCTAGACTGTTAAATGCCCTGAAAAACTTAAGGCATGCTCACTCAGTTGAATGCCTCAAATTTCTTTGCAATACAATCAGGAAAAGAGAATAATTGCTATGAATTTGGGGACAAATGTTATTTTTAAATTTTGAGTAAAAATTATTTTGGGTTTTACTTGGCAGGAATAGGGATATACAGGTAAGTGTTGATATGTATTTAAACTTTGTGAAGAGTTCATCTCATATAAGAAGTTTACATGATTTATTTGAAATGCCTAACTTCTCTTTCAGGATTTATTACATTTGTTTATAATAGCTTCTAAGTCCTGTCCTTATAGAATGTTGATTGAAAAATATTGCCCTTTAGAGATCCTTTAGTTACAAAATATTGCTTATTTGGGGAAGATAATATATTAAAATATAAGAGTACATAACTTTCTTTGCTCTTGAATTTACAGAGGAGGGAGAGTGACTAATCTATGTAATGGATCTGAAACGAGGCTAATAGATTTGAATTTAAGCAATTTCTGTAATTAAAAGTATACTGAACCTCGAGATATGGCACTTGGTTTTTCTGAAATGAATCACCCGCTGTTATTTTCCTCCCCCACTTTCCACAGGAACTCAGTTTCCTCCAATTGCAGCACAAGACCTTCCTTTCGTTCTAAAGGCTGGCTACCTTGAAAAACGCAGAAAAGGTAAGCTGTGAGATTTTATAAAAGCACCAGAAGAAAAATGATTTCATCCTTAGATAAGACATATTTGCAGCACACACGTAGAGACAGTGTGCTTTTCAGGTGATCGAAGGGTTTAAGACTGTTAGAAAATCTGGATGACATTATCCAAACCACAAAATATAGCTTTTAGCTTTTACATAATTGTTAATAACAAAACGTGAGGTTGGGTTTTTGGCTGTCAACTTCCGTTATTTGTAAGTGGTTCAGGAGCTGTTTCCTCATGTGACCATTTTCTCAAAGATGGGATTTCTCACCATTACCCCACCCGGCCGAGCAGCAGGTTATCTGCACTGACCTGGCATACGCCACGTCTGCCGTGTTTAGATCAAGCTTTGGCATCGTGTCTGCCATTGTCTGTTACTCATTTCGCTGTTCCTCTCCATTGGCTGCGATAATTGGGAGTTGACCATATGGTCTCATTCTTTCAACACCAATATTTAATGGAAATGAATTATGGAGGTGGTGTTATGGTATGGGGAATGAAAAGCAGAACGCCTCTTTATTACCATACCTCTTATCTCTCAGGTAGCCCCTTTGAGCCTTTCTATTTATATTCTATTTGCTTTTCTTAGATTTTAAAACTGAAAGCTAATAGAAATAATCGAGGTCACCTCCTTCCCCTCCCTTTCATAACAGATGAGAAAACGAGACCCGGATGAATCAGTTATCCCAAGGCTGTGTAATCTTAGATGCCTTTTTGACTGTCCCTGTCAGGAAAGTTTGTTAGCCGTGCAGTTGATCCCTTCCGTGGAGCAACCCTCTGCTTTACTTTATTCCTTTTGGCGTTGTTGGGGTTTTACTTTTTATTTATTTATTTATTTATTTATTTAGTTTGTTTCCTGGAATAGAAGATGCAAATTAAGTAGTCATAGCATTTTAGAGCTGAAAGAAATCTTAAAAATCATATCAACTGGCTTTTGCTTTTACGGTAAGGAAATAGCTTTATATTTACTTAAGTAATATATGAAGGGGCTTCCAAAGTTCATGGAGAAATGGAATTAAAGTACAAGTTTATTTAAGTGCAAACGAATTCTGAAATCCATATATAGATTTTTTCTGTGATAGGCATCCTCCTTGATCTTTTTGAAGACACACATAATGTATATTTTCTGAACTGTTCTTTTTCTTCTTTTATTGTAGATCACAGCTTTCTGGGATTCGAATGGCAGAAACGGTGGTGTGCTCTCAGTAAAACAGTGTTCTATTATTATGGGAGTGATAAAGGTAGTGTTGGTGTTCAGTAATACCAGCTATTGCTTGTTTTTTGTTTTTTATTTTTTGTCATTTTAACCCTCTCCCCCTTTTTGGGGGGGGGTACAGAGTAAAATGAAGACAAATGGATGAAGAATTTTAACAGTTATAAGACTAAGTTATCATAATTCTGGTTCATTATTTAACAAATGTTCTGAATTCCAGAACGATCTTAAAGTTAAACAGTGGTGTTTTGTTGAATTAGAAAAGACAGTAAAATAATTTTCAACTGTGAAGCTTTTCATCTTAAGAAATATCTACCATCTAGGCTACAGTTACAGAATTTCTAGAGAAGTTAAAACCATAGGATTGTGAGAGTTTTAAAAGATTATTTAATTTTACTTATTATTATTGTCTAAAAAAATTGTTATGGGACACGTGCACTCACCAGAGAGATACACAGAGAGAGAGAGAGACAAAGTAAGAAAGCAAAGCAATAGGTCTGAGACTCGAACCATAGTGGGCCATGTGGGTGCCTTAACCACCATGTCACCTGCTGGCCCTGAGTGTGTTTTGTTTTTGTTTTTGTTGCGTGTGTGTGTGTGTGTGTGTGTGTGTGTTTGTGTGTGTGTGAGAGATCCCTGGTGGGCTCTGGTCATGCTGTAATTCCTTCTCTCCATTTCTCCATCACACAATATTTGGGGCCTACTGTTTTTCAAGTCGCCAGGGTTGGAATTAGATTTAGAATTGCAGTGGGCCATGTGGGATTTGGCTCCTAATACACAGTGCTTAAGCACTGTGCTACAGGGTCAGCCTGAGTTGTGAGAGTTTTGAAGGCAGAAAAAGCTATTTTTTTTCTTAAATATTTTGAAAGAAAACTTTAGATAAAGTTAAATATATACACACCCTTGCCAATTCCTTTACAGATTTATTTACTAACTCATTCATTAATTTATGTTGCCAGAGTACACATGCACACTGGTGTGTGTGTGTGTGTGTGTGTGTGTATGTGTGTGTGTGTGAGAGAGAGAGAGAGAGAGAGAAAGCTCCATTGGGGTGTGGTTGTGTCACAAGTGCTGTTTTTCCATTCTTCCTTCCCACCAGGATGTTGGACATGCACATACACACACTGGGTATGTTTTCTTTTATTATTTTTTAATCATTTATTTATTTATTTTTACATTTTCCCACAAACATTTACTTTATATATCAAAAAACTTTTGCTCATATTCTATAGCTCTTTTTTGGAGAGGTTTTTGCTATAGAGTGTGTGTGCTCACCAGAAAGAGAGAGACAGAGAGACAGAAAGTGAGAAATCACGCCCCCCCCCCCAAGGGGGGATAGCCAGCTGCAATCCCTTCTCCATCAACAATGCCATTATACCAACTGCTGGTTCCTCGTACTCTATAGTTCTTGACAGTTAATAAACAACTTTCAAAATTTCAAAATACTGAATTTTAAAGATAATGTTCAAAATATTTGTTACAATTTGTTTGTGATTCTGTAACAACAGAGACAGTATGGTTTTAAATATTTTTGAGAAAATATTTACATGTCAGCTACTCAAACTGTTGAAAAGCAAACGTCTAGCACATAAGTCACACATAAATCTTCTCAGTTCAGCCCTGTCTACCAAGTATTCTGTGATATACCATCTACTAGCGAAGATCAGTCTCTTTTTCTTCCTTCAAAGTCGTCCTCAAGATAATCCTCTGGTTGTGGTTGCTCTTTTGGAATCCCTACTGATTACTATGCTGGACTGGAAAAGTCTAGGTTATTTTATGGTACAAATTCTTCCATATAGCTTCTCTAATCCTCTCTGCCAGGCGGAACTGTTTATGGTACCAGACCATCTTTCCAAGAGCTTCTGTTGGCTTCCTTGAGATCTACCTTAGTTCCTTCTGCCACAAAATAAGAATACTCCCAAATATTTTCCAATTCCAGAGGGGTCAGGAAGGGATAAAATTTGTTTCCATTTAAAGAAACAAAGAAACAAAAAGAAAAAATATTTTAACAAATTGCTGAAAATATCAACAGTTCCAAAGAAAGCAAAATCCTTAAATTGGGAAAGCAGAACATAGTAAAAAAAATCAGTAGCATTTCACTCAAAAGTCATAAAATTCTATTACCAGTTTAGTCTTCTGCTGAATTTGCAGTGTTGCTGTGGCCCGATCTTTCTGTTTAAACCCTGAAAGTTAACATTCAATGCTATTGATATTTTTTGTCCCTAGCATTAAGTTGATCATTTTCTTGGTTGTTTTTTGTTATCTTATTTCTGTATGTGTGTCTTTAGTTTTCCTGGTAGAGCACTCCTTTCAGGACCTTTTGAAGAGTGGTTCCGATATTGGCGAATTCTTTTAGTCTTATTTATCTGAGAATGTTTTTTCCCTTTCTTTCCATATTAAGGATAGTCTTGCCAGGTATAATATTCTTGGTTGAAACTGCTTTTCACTTATTCCCATTCTTTCCTTGCTCGCATTGTTTCTGATGAGAGGTCTGATGTTAGCCTGATGGGATAACCTTTATAAGTAACCTGACATTTTTCTCTTGCCAATTTTATTATCTTGTCTTTGTGGATTTTGCCAATCTGGCTATGATGTGTCTTAGAGAAGATCTTCTTGGGTTGCTTCTATTAGGGGTCCTTCATATTTCTTGGGTCTGGATATTTGAATGCCTCTCTAGATTTGGAAAGTTTTCTTCTTGGATTTCAGGGAATAGATTATCAATGCCTTTATTAGTTTCTTCACCTTCTGGAATACCGATTATCTGGATGTTTGGGTGCTTAATGGTGTCTAGTATTTCTTATATAGTATTCTCATTTTGGGGGGTTATTTTCTCAGTTTTTGTTGTTGTTGCTATTGTTTTTACTAGATCAGAGAGTTTGCCTTCAACATCTGAGATTTGATCTTCTACATGGGCTAGTCTGCTTTTAATACTTTCGAGGAAGATTTTGAATTTTTGAATTGCAGCCTTCATCCCTAATAGCTCCATTTGATTCTTTTTTGTGGTGTGTATTTCTTCTTTCAGATCGTCTAAGCACTTCCTCACCTCTTGGTACTCATTGTCTCTTTTTTCCTGCACTTTCTGGAGTTCATTGTCTCTCAGCTCTTGCATCTCATTTAGTTTTGTCACTGTGAATATTCTGAATTCCCTATTGGACATTTCCATGAGTTCTACTGTACCATCTGTGGATGATGAAGGATTGTATTTTTCCCTTAGGGGAGAGATATTTTCTTGGTTTCTCATATTTCTTGTGCCTCTGCGGTGGTTTCTGGCCATTCTGTGACAAAATCCCTCCTCTTCTGTGCTTTGCAATGTGGTATCCACAGGAAGAGACTAGGAGTTCAGATTTATGAAAGGAAATTTCTTCCTTAAAGCAGGAGGTTCAATAAGCGTTGAGGATTTTAATGACTCTGAAAGTATTCAGATATTTGGCTACTGTGCACCTAGGCCTATCTAGACACTCAGTGTGTGGAGAGTGAAGAGCAGAGTGAGACAGTAAGGTAAAAAGAGCAAAAGCAAAAGAAAACTAGACAAAAATAACCAAAAAAGAGAACAAAAAATTTTTTAAAGGTTTAAAAATGAAAACTACATGTTCCTCTAGTGCACCGTTTGAACACACCGGGACACACCTCAAATTGAAAATGGCTTCTGAAATTAGCAAGAGAAAGAAAAGGACCAGGGTGAGGAGAAGTGGCTTAAAAATTAAAAAAAAAAAGAAAAAAAATATATATGAAGAGAGAAGGAGCATGAGACAGACAGACACACAGAGACAGAGACAGAGAGAGGACAGAGGTCACTCTACCTTGTGTGAGTATTTAGGGAGTCTAGGAGATGGAATTTAGAGCATAGCTTCCCTGAACATGCCAGGATACATCTCAGACTGAAAATGGCTTCTTGTCTGTATTTCGAGAGTCTATAAGGTGGAGTTTAGAGCATAGCTTCCCTGAAGACTTGAGGACACACCTCAGATTGAAATGGCTTCTTTTCTGAGTATTTCCAGGATATGTTTTCTAAGGACTGGGATTTGAACTGTGATCAGCCATGGGAGGATCCAGCTTCCCTAACTACTATACAATGGGACCAATTCCCTTAAAGGTTTAAATAATAACAGAAACTTGTATATAGAGTTTACTATGTACTGGCCACTGTTCTAAGCACTTAGCTATCTGTCTTATCTTATTTAACTTCCAACTCCTTGACTACTGTTATTAGCCCCATTTATTTACTGTTAGGAAAACTGAGGACAAAGAAGATAAGTTTGTTCAAGGTTATAGATCTGGTAATGGCAGGTCTGGAATTTGCTATAACCTAGGTAGTATGGTTATAATCCAGGCTTGTAACCATCATCCTAAATCACTATATTAATTCAGAAACAATAAGAAACATTGCATAACTTCTCTTATTCATTAAACTCTAAGTCATAATTTACCAAATCATAATTTAAAGCTTATGATTTTTAATAAATAAAAGCACAAAAAAATGAAATTTAAAGGATGTAAGCTTTCTTAGTTTTGTTTTTTTCAATGAAAAAGCAGTCCAGAAGTTCAATAAGGTAAAGGTTACATAGAAATAAATCATGTTTACTTTCAGGAAGAACACTTTAAGGAGAAAAAAGAGCTAAGAGCCCAGTATTACCAAATATAACTTTTTCTACAGAGTTGTTAGTAGTCAATGTTGTTTGGAAGTTTCTTTTTTATTTGACTTCATTTGCCATTTTTAGGTACCTGTCACACTTATTAGAAAAACATACAGATAAGATTATTGTATTTCAGATAAATTTGAATATATTGTGCTAGAAGTTGGTCTTACCCATTGGCTAATGTGATTACAAAATTAAGAATGAATTTAGTGGCTAGTTTGCATTCCATTACTAATTTACAATATGTTCAAGTGTAATAACGGCATCAATGAAGTGCAAACTGTCAATGACAGGAAGCAAACAACCTTCTTCCATCTGTTGAGGGTAAGTAGGTGGTGATGTCAGAAAATGTAGAGTCTAAGATCAGTTATGATTATGATGGATCATAAAC